ACTATGGTCCGGCCATCTTTAGAAGTACTGACAATTTTTTTGACATCAAAGTTTCTTGAGTAGGATGCTCGTACTGGCAAGTGCAAAGTATAATTGGGCAAATATTATATCTTTGAAGGGGGATCCTTCAAAGATATAATATTTGCCCAATGTAACTTACAATGACTCAATGGATGCAGGTCTGTTCAACTATAAACTTATGAAGAACGGAACTGATGATAATTATGGTGCGTAGCACTGCGATAGCGACTGCTTTTGCATTCCCTAGTATTTTAAAGTTACCTGCGTATTAGTTTTATCTCTTGTATCGTTGTGAGTTTTTATAATAATGACATGCTCAAAACATCAACGAAGAACAATTTCTCCTTGTACGTCTTGTAAATACTTCTTCCGTGAGGGTGTCTAACCCGTGAACCACAAAGCCGCAGCCAAATGCTTACCCGCTTCCCGACTGACCCGCCTAATTGAATTTCTGTTATAGAAACTCAATTTAAACTTTAATCTTGGACTTTGAATTTCTTATAATTAAAATGTCTGTTCATTCTTCTAGTCGTAATTACGACCATGCGAGCTTTATTTGAAAAAATATTTTTAGACTTGCATTATAGGGGGCCGGGATTTAACCTCGGATCTTGCTGAAATTAGTTATTGGATTTTTTTGTAAATAAATTCTCTGTAGCAGCCCAAAGTAAGAAAGTTGGCGGCGTTTCACCCCCGTGCCGCAGAAAGCACGTAAAGTCATTGGATTTGGATCATGTGCCTACTCGTAGTCTTTCTCCAGTTGTGTCGAATTGCCGTCCCATCGGGCTATAAGAGTGAGGGAATAGAAACTACCTGTGTTTGTGTGTAATATAATCCTGCAATGCGCCTAGTATCCGTATGGACTGGCCGTCGTGAACAAAATTCGGTCTGGAGGACAGTACGAGGCCTTGGATTCTTGGTCTTATTGATTAATCTCTAAACACGTCACGCTGAATAATGGATTTATGTGTTTTGTTCGTTCGTCGTTGTGTCGCATTTATTGTCCACACGTCTGTCGTTAACAACGTTGTAAAGATTGAGTGTGTGTCGACGAGGATTTTAGGAGGACCTTATACTCAGAATCACCAAACGGTATTTGCTTATCCAGATGAGGAGGTGGAGGAAATGTATGAGGATATATCTAGAGCCATGCATTCCTCCAAAACCCACTATACAGTGTTAATGGGAGACTTCAACGCAAAACTAGGCACAAAAGAGAACGGTGAGCTGAAGGTAGGGAAATTTGAAATAGGGCAACGGAACTCAAGAGGCCAGCGGCTAGTCGACTTAATGGAGATAAAGGGACTCTTGTATGATGAACTCTTTCTTCCAGAAGCGTCCCCACAGGAAGTGGAGCTGGTCGAGCCCCGACTTTTCGATAAAAAATGAGATTGACTTCATTATGACGACCAGACAACAATTCAATGATCGCGAGGGTGAAAACCGGCAGCGGTCACCGAATGATGATAGGCACACTGAACCTAAACCTTAAGTTGGAGAGGTCACGTCTAATGAAGTCAACGCTCCGTCCCCCTCGTGCTTATACCAAAGTCCGGAAACCTTTCAGTTCGAGTTACAGAACCGTTTCAGTGCCTAGAAGATTACAATGCAGTGGATGATATGGATGACAAGCTCGTGAAAACTGTCCATGCGGTCGTAGCTGAGTTTTGCAAGACCCGCCACAAAAGAACACAAAAACTTCGATGACACTCTTAATATCATGGCTGTTAGACGGGAAATGAAGCTGCAGTGTTCAGTAGATTTGGCATACAGGCAACTGAACAGACAGATCTTCAAATGCATGCGGCGGGACTTACGCAACTTTAATACTGCTCGTATTGAAGAAGCGCTCGAGGATGAAGACCGAGTGTGTAGCGTCGTTTCCGGGACACCTGGGATTACGAGTGAGATTGAGATAGGTTCTATGGGCAGCTGTCGTCAACGTCAACTTCACCGTTGGCGCCACACGCAAGTGTGAGTAACGATCCAAGAGCAAGATTTATCCGACACTATTCCGATGATATTCCGGACGTCAGTCTGAGCGAGATTAGAATGGCTCTCCAGCACCTTAATCCTTCGCCCCAGGCGAGGATGGAATTACATCGGAGCTTCTGAAAGCGGGTGGAAAACGAGTACTTGAAGTCCTTCAGAAGCTCTTTAATTCCGTCCTCCATGGTGGCACTACACCGGAGACGCGGAGCAAAAGTGCGGTGCTTGTTCATCAAGAAAGGCGAAAACGCTCCCTTGAAGAACTACAGAACGATTTCCCTTCTGAGCCGCGTCTACGTGCTGTTTTCATGAGTCATTACGAATCGTCTCGCATGCAGACTCGACGACTTCCAGTCTCACGAACAACCCCGGTTTCCGAAAAGGCTTAAGTACCATAGACCACATACATACCCTTCGGCAAATTTGACAGAAGTCCGAGGAGTACAATTTGCCACTATGTCTTACGTATGTGGATTATGAGAAAGCCTTTGATTTTGTCGGAATTTCAGCGGTCCTGCAGTCCCTTCAGTGGTGCCAAGTTTACTGTCGGTATATCGAAGTGCTGAAGTGCTTGCACAGTAGTGCCACGATGGCTAACCGAGTACAGAACCAGAGTACGAAACCTATCTAATTGCAGAGAGGTTTAAGACAGGGTGACATATCAACAACTTTGAGCTTAGTCCTCACAAAAGTTGTTGGGAGCACTAAGTTCGAAATTGTTGACGAGTATATTTACCGGGGACAAATAGTTCGACTAGGTAAGTCCAGCTTCTACCGAGAGGTCAATCGACGGATTCAACTCGTGGTCCTTTACTGCTGGCCGGATGAGGAAGCTCAAGGTCGCACAGCGAGCTATGGAGAGGGCTATGCATGGAGTTTCTCTGCGTGACAAACTTACAAATGAGGATATCCGCAGTAGAACCAGAGTACCGACCGACATAGGCCAAAGAGTTAGTATGCGCAAGTGGCAATGGGTCGGCCATATAGCTCGAAGAACCGACAACCGATGGGGAAAAAATGTTCTCGAGTGGTGGCCTCGTACTGGCGGCCGAAGTGTAGGGCGACCACCCCCCACTAGATGGAGTGACGACGTGGCAAGACATGCAGGAAGTCGATGGATGCAGGTGGCTCAAGACCGTGCTTTGTGGCATTCCTTGGGGGAGGCCTATGTTCAGCAGTGCACTTGTGAAGGGCTGTAATGATGAATTCTTACTTATCAATAGGGTGCAGATTCTGTTATTAATTACCGGCTCCAAAATCTCTAAATATGAGAGAAACCTGTACACTGTGAAATGTACAAATTCCTCTTTATTGGACTAAACACTAAACAATACGGATTATATTATCGGTTTAAAATTTTATCAGAACAAATATTACCGGTTTAAAATTTTATCAGTCATGTTATTACGTTATTCGTTACAAATAATCTGTATGCCACAGCCATTTCAGTTGTAGACTGTTGTTGCAATTATAAACAGTCATTGTTATTCATCTCTTTAACTACTTTTTTGACATTCAAAATCAGCAAAATTCTAAAGTTAAAGTTACAGCCTATTTACGTCCCACTACAGGCCTCCTCTCATTCCTGAAAGGGTTTTAGGGCAAGCCAATGTCCGCCGCGCTGCCTCAATACGTGTTGGCGAACTTTGCATGTCTTCGAAATATATATATATATATATATATATATATATATATATATATATATATATATATATATATATCTTAGACATGCAGGTCTGTTCAAGATGTTTTTCTTCACTGCCGAGCAAGTTGTAAATCAGCACTTAAATTGCAATTAATAATTTCATTGGTGCCGGCGGGGATCTAACCCGGTTTGCTCGTGAACTATGATATTTACAGCGAGCATTTAGCGCCTGAGCTACCACGGCTCCAAAGAAAGAAGAAAAAGCAAAATCCTAGTATTACCGAATTTAATGCGGAACTGTAATGAAAATTATCAATATTATAAAATACTAGCTATCCGCTTCGGCAACGCGCGCGTAATTTTTGGATCTCTACAACAGCACCACCTACCAATATTATAATTATGGAATATCATTATAGCTTAGAAATATCCAGGCGACCCCCTAAGTATCCCATAAATGTCTCATCAGAATTGGCAAGCCGTTTAGAAGAAAACCTACACAATTTTTCTTAATAAAGGTAAATAGTAAATTTTGAAATAATACTTAAATTTAATGAATTATAAAATTTGTATCTGTGTCGTTATTTATTCCATTATGACATTAGCTGTGTTTACATTAAATACGATTATATCCTGGGTTTTGCTGTTTTTAGTAAGAGAGAATAAATAACGTTTTGAAATAATTAATTCTAAAGAACAAACATTCGAAAAATTTGAATATAATTTACTAATTAAATTAGCTCCGTAAGACATCACACAACCCAATTTTGCAACTCGTATAATCGTTTTGATTTAAGTAACTAAATCCACGATATCTTTATGAAATAAAATTGCTGAATCGGATGAACACAAGTGGCTCAAGACCGTGCCATATGTCAATTCTTTATTTATTGGAAACGAGGCATTTTATCTCAGTGCTCAGGGGTGACAACGCATCTGAAATTTATATCTTAATCGAAGATAAATTTAGATGTTAATGGGCGACAACATCCACTTATCCACTAGGTAAACGGTGTGCTCGTTTGTCATCCTTAGTCTACAAAATAAATCTATAAGATAATCTATAACACTTGTGATCAGCAGTGGACTTGTTATTGGCAGTTATGATAATGTTGATGATAGCCACAAATATTATTATAATGTATGTATAAGCACAAAACTGCAACATAGTGCAGTTATCTAAAATTGATTCAAACGTATGCAATAAAACGCCAACATCAATATTACGCTTGATTGTTTTCGATTTCATCAGTATTTGATTGCGGCTCGTGCAATTATTCGCACCGGATACATATGTATATATGTACATATGTACTTAAACCAGGGGCGCAGATAGAGGTTGACAATGAAAACAATATACTACATTTTGCTTTGCTCGTTCGGACTGCTCCCGATAATTGGGGCACGGATGCACGATTACGTAAGAGACGGCCGTAAGTAAATAATACAGTGTAAAGTTCTTCTATACATTCAAATAATCTTATGGTTTTTCTAGAATCAAAAAATAATATTAGATGAACAAAAATTAAAAATTCTTGTGATAGTTGTGCTAAAGGCATTTAATAAAAGAAAGTATTTATTACCTTGAAATCATTTCAATCTTTCTCTTTAATTTATTTTAAAAAAAAGTTTTTTTTTTCATTTTATTATTGCAAATATGTCGATAAATAACATTTTATCTTTAATTCCAGGTGATGACCTGGGTCCATTTCCTTCTAATTTAATGAATGTACCCTATTATTGCTATCAAGTACCTTCGAAAGGCCCATGTGGGAAAATGTATAAATCCTGGTTCTTCGATATAGTAAGAAGGAAATGCATGCCGATGTTTTATTCTGGTTGTGGTGGAAATGAAAATAGATTCAACAGTGAAACGTTGTGTATGATTAGTTGCGGTCGAATGAGAACCATTTAGATTACCAACTATTATGTCATGCTTGCAATTTGTATTTCCATTATTTATATTATATTGTTATTTAATTTGTGTGTTATTAATGCGCTTGGTAAATGAAAAGCTTATTAGTTTCCGGGGCAAAACTTAAATTTGTCTTCATCATCATTATTACAGCCCAACACAACTGCAACTCTGAGCGTAACTTATAATATACCAATTTATTTTGTAAGGATTAAAATATGAAATCGCCGTTTCATATTGAAGAATTCAAACCCATTTTTTATCTAAGAAAAATATATTTATTCAATCAAAGCATTTAATCTCATCTATACATATCTGCCATCTCGAGAAACGATCATTAATTGCCCACAAATGTCTATTAATATTGATAATGCCTAGATAGATATTTGGTTTCTTTAACTGTGGTTTAAGAACATTTCATCTAACTAAAGAAGTCACTAAGCCGCAGCAGCGTCACTATTTTCGAGAAATTTGACATGCTGTCAAACTTTATACTTTATATTATAGTTCGCATTTTTCCGCGGGACATCTTTCATGAAACGAATTCTAGTTTAAACCTGGGAATAAGTATAAACATTTTTTTTGTAATAAGGCCATATATGACCTAAGACTCCTGATGAAATATTTGATCAAACAAATGGTTAAAGAGTATCTTCTTTTCGAATGCCCCTGTAATGACTGAAAATATTGCTTATACTCGTACCAAGAGATCCTAAAAGTCACGAGGGTTTATATATTAAAAGCAAATTATTAATTTGCCTCTCTTGTGTTATAACAACTAACAAAGGGTTAATTTATATTTTACACTGAATACTTTAAAATTCCGAGATATTATTATTATTTATTACCATATTATGTTAAATATTTGTAATAAGGTTATATTATTTATAATAAGGTTATAAAAAGTTCATTTTTCCCCAATAAAACATGAATTATGTTTACCTGACATTGGGCAGCCATAATTTATTCATTTTTAAATGAAAGTAATGTTTACGGATTTTTTCGTGTTTAATTTATTTTTTTAATTCCTGTGGACTGAGGTATTTGACGTCCCGATGTCATTCAGTATTTGAGTATTAATTTTTGGTCCGATCTACGCAAAAGGAGCTTACAGTATCTTGAAGTCTTGCAGTGGTTGTGTGTGTCATAATGTGTCTATGTGTCAGATGGCAAGTATTTCTTGGACAATTTTTCATTAACACCACACTAGACAATTGAATTGGTAAGCGCAGTACCGATAACTTTATTTAGTTTTGTAGCGCACAATCGTCAGTCTAAGCACTTAATGGTCAATCACGCAACTTTATTTCTCGTGACGATGCCTCGTTTAAAGACGAAACAGGTGTTGTTTTATCTATTCTTAATTTCTTAACCGTCTGGCAATTATGGCAAACCATAGTTTGCCACACTTAACAGACGGGTTATTAAATGCATTTTTTTATCATTTTCGGTTGTTATCGGTAAGATTCTCCTATTCAGTTTCTTTGTTTCATTTCCCTTTGTCGCCTCTTACGACTCACACGGGATGGTATGAAGCAGTAGATTCTCTTTTACCGATATTCAGCTCTAAGACATTCAAGTCTACTGTTCTTCGAAATATAGATAGGCGTATAAACGTTACATTTACACTTGATGTAGAAAATACAAATTAGCATTTGGAATCAGTGTTAAATTGTGATGATTACGAATGATTAGTCCAAGGTCAGCAGTGGGTTGCGCTGGACTGATGAAAAATAAGAAAACAATGACGAAAGCGGAGACTTAAAATATCAACTGCCCGTATCATATTCCAATTATTGGCATTTTTCAGCAAATTGAATTTTATCAAGCCCTTTTTAATCTGTTAAAGTTATGTTTTAAAAATTATGTTACGAGAAATGTATTTGAATCTTAGTTATCAAATAAATTTCCAATGATGTTTGTGTTACATTTTCTTTTTTAATTAAATTTTTGACAAGCAATTCTACAAGCAATAGTTTATTTGTATTTTTACTATAAAAGAGTTGTAAGTCAATTTGGTCGATGTTTGCATTAAAAAAGTACCACATTTTATTTCCTTCTTTTATATTCAGGGCAAGCGCAAAATCAAAGAGAGCGCGTTATGTAAATTTTCTTGTGGTGCCGTACTTGTATCGCGTTTGTTTTTAGTCCTTGGTCTACTTTTTCATCTTCTCTTTTATTTTAAAATCATAGACTTTGACAATGTACAGTATATTTTGTGAATAATGCAAGAAAACATATTGATTTCAAAAATGAATAATCTAAATTTTTATTTTTTATTTTATTATATATTATATTAAAAACATTAATAAAAAAATTAAAACTAGTAATTTAATTAACAAACAGTCCTACTCTCCGCGGTATCGTCCCAAGAACGCTGGCTGCGTTTCCTCGCTGAATGGCTTAGCCTTTGAGCGATAAAAGAACCTGTCCTCTTTATCACCAGCAGCAATGACCAACCGCGAATGGAGTTCCTTTAGGAACTTCACCGAACGTGGACTCCACGGACCGATAGTCTGTACAGCAAATGGCACAAATATGTAGTCATCACTCAGATACTCATATTTGCGCCACTTAGTTCAGCTGCCTCTGATGCCGCCCCGGCTCTAAACGAGGTACCCCTGAGATGAGAGGCCGCCAGAGTAGCAAGTAGCATCCCACACTAGGGCTTTACCTCTCTCCCAAGGGACCAATGTCATACCGTCGGGTCTCTCGCAATCGTCTCTATATATTCCACAAGGCTCTAAACCGGAGGGAACATTTATAGAGACAAGATCCCTTCGGATGACATGGTTCAAAGAACCGTGCCGTGAAAACCTACCAGCACTTTTCTTACGTGAAAGTCCGTGGAGCCCAAACTTGTCGACGCTGCTACTATAGGGGCACTGATGGGGTTGACAAATCGTCGCTCATAGTCGAATTCCTACGGCGATCCGCAAGCGCTTTCCCCATCAAGTAATATGCCGAGATTACGGGATGGTAAAACGTGTAACCAGTAACTAGATTCCTTAGTCGAATCAGCTAGAAGGCGTGCCTTATCTTTTTTTTCTTTTTTATAGGAGAGGGGGCAAATGAGCATGCGGCTCACCTGATGGTAAGTGACTACCGCCACCCATGAACAGCTGCAACACCAAGGAGGGAATCGCAGATGCGTTGCCGGCCTTTTAAAATGGAGTACGCTCTTTTCTTGAAGGTCCCTAGGTCGTATTGGTCCGGAAAAATCGCTGATGGTAATCGATTCCACAAGGAAGTCGTGCGAGGAAGAAAACATCTAAATCGCACAGTGGTGGACCGCCAATCATTATCTTATAATTATCTTGGTCACTATGAAAATTATGAAACAAATCTTTCTGCACCTTCTGTAAAAACGGAATATCCCACCACTTTAATATAATCTGACCCGAATGAATAGGATGTATGGTCATTGATTATGCCCTGTCCCGAAGGAGACTTAACTTGGTAACTTTGAGTTTTAACTTGTCACGTGCGTTTGATATTGTGGCTATGTTTGTGGATAGCTTTCGTGTTTTTACTTTCGTGGATTTATTTAATTTGACCCTTGGCTTTTCTCTCGGATTACAAGACAGTGGGTTGTTGCGCCAACAAAATGACAATAATGTGGTACTTATGATATGAGAGGAATAGAACAGACAATGTACAGACTTCGGCCGCTTTTCTAGATGCCATTTTATAATTAATTATTACAGGAAATAACGAAACAATTAAATAGGTTGAGTTCTATTTTACTATATTTAATAACAACTGCAAAACTGCATTTTTGTGTAATTTTTGATTATATAACCAACAAATCATAAAACATAAAATAAAAACAAAACCCCAGGTCCCAAGCTTGTATGAATGAAGTTCATCTCCTTTGTTTTTAAAACAGATATACTATAGAAAAACAACGGGGCACGTAGCAGGTATAGTGTTTCCGTACTAAGTGTCTGAAAAAAATATTTCACATTTATTATTTCACATATATTTGGTTCAAGACCAATATTTTGAAAATTTCGAAAAATATGAGTAAGATCACTGAGGACGTCATCTGCTCTATCTCCCAGTGTACCTTCGTCCAGGTACCATATATTCAGCTTGGATTTCAAATTTGAAATAATGGGATGAATTCCCAAACTGAAAAGTGCTGGACCTATTCGGTCAGCCTGCTGAACAGCAGCAGAATCGATAATATGGTTTTCGTAAAACAAGTTAGTATTTTGACTGTAACATAATGATAAAAAGCCAAACGTAATGATAAATTTCGGGGGTATTGTTAGCCACTTTTTTCAGCTGGTTTACCCTATCGATAGAGTTAAAAGCATTTCTTAGGTCAACCTTCATAAGAACATCTGCATTAGAGTTTGTTAAAAATGTACGCACTGAATGTACCGCCGCCTCACAGGCACCTCTAGTGCCAAAGCCTTGAGTAAGCTGAAATTTTGTCTTAAAGTTAGAGATTATATGCTTGCAAGCTAATTTTGAAGTTAAGCGTCGCAATGTGCAACCAACGGCAATAGGACGGATACCGTTTTCCTTTATTAGAAGGCACATAATCTTGCCCCATATAAGAATGCAATGAAATTTGGATTAACATTACCAGAATGCATAAAGTTACATAATTTTGTAATGTCATTAAGAAGTACTCCGCCGGCGTCACCGGCAGAAGCGCTTACAAGATATTTAAGATGTTGAGACGTAATTCCGTCAACGCCGCCAGCAGAGCCATTCGAAAATAACATAATTGCTTCTAAAGTTTCTTTTTCAGAAATTTGTAAAGGTTGCATAGAAGTCTTGGGAGGCAGCGGTAAACCTTGAGAAAGATTGACCGAAGGATGCTTTTGACGAAGGCTTTTAAGAGTTTCGACATTACGAGGAGCCAGGATGTCGTCTGAAAATAAAATATTGGATGCATTTTTAAGTCGCCATCCATTACTTTCGACTCAACTACTTTTTTAAATCAAATTTAGCACGTGATCGAGATAAATGATTATTAATTGGGT